TCTGTAATCCACAAGGCAAAGTCCTTACTTTTAGAACTCCAAATTTAAAATTCTGGGGAAGGATACTGACAAAAGGGGTCAAAATTCTACCCCTGGACTAAGCCATTATGGCTAGGGGATTGGAGAACTATGGTTAGTCAGACTAGAGCTACCTGTAACTCACCTGACACTCACGTGGTAAGTGTGGAGAGGGTTGGAGAGGGATGAGCGACAGTCTCACTCAGAATCATGTTTGCATCTCATGAAGAGATGCTTGTTTTACTGTCCAGCAGGAGAAAGGGAAGCAGTGCTGGATAGTAAAACAAGTGTCCAGTTATTTGATACTTGCTTTTTGTCTGAAGCTGATTCATCCTCCTTATCTCTTTAATAGGGAATGGGGGGAGGAAAATAGGAAAGTAGGAGAGAGCGAGTGAAGTGTAAATTTTATTGTGTACTTAACTATGTAGTAAGTAAACTTCGCAGGTAGGAGCCCATTGCATCTCATTTAATCTTTACTTACAATGCTGTGAGATAGATAATATACCCATTGTCAGCCAGAAACAAGCTCAAGCTAAGAAACTAGCCCAGGACCATAAAACCTAAATGTTTTATGAGCCAGGAGCTAAAGCTGAGTCCACTTGTCTCCAAAGCATATTAGGCTTTTCTGTTGTACCATGTTCTTCAAAATAAAGTGAGTTAAACTATCTGGTCAACATGCCAGTCCCCTGTATTCCCTGCTACCGACTCAGTGTTTGTGTCCCCCAAAAACCATATGTTGAAATTCTAATCCCCAGTGTGATAGAATTTGGAGATGTGGCTTTTGGGAAATTAGATCATGAGAGTGGAGCCCTCATGGTGGGAATAGTGTCTTTATAAGAAGTGAACATACACACAAGAACTTGCATCCGCTCGCCTTTTTCTGCCATGTGAGGACACGGCAAGAAGGTAGCCATGTGTAAACCTGGAAGAGGGCTGCCTCCAGAATTGTGAGGCTATCTCAGTTATATCTGTGTATTAGGCTGTTCTTGCATTGCTAGAAATAAATACCTGAGACTGGATAATTTAAAAGGAGAATAGATTTAATCAGTTTACAGTTCCGAAGGCTTTACCAGAAGCGTGGCGCTGGCATCTGCTCAGCTTCTGGTGAAGCCTCAGGGAGCTTTCAATCATGGCAGAAGATGAAGGGGGAACAGGCACATCACATAGTGAAAGCAGGAGGAAGCATGAGAGAGTCGGGGTGACTGGAGGTGCCACACACTTTTAAATGGCCAGATCTCACAAGACTCATAGCACCAAGCCATGAGGGATCCATCCCATGATCCAAACACCCCTCCACCAGGCCCCACCTCCAGCACTGGGGATTACAGTTCAAAATGAGATTTGGGCAAGGACAAATCCAAATTATCAGTCTGTTGTTTAAGTCACCTAGTCTGTGGTAATTTGTTATAACAGCCCAAGCTGACTAAGACACTTCTCTAGTCACAGTGTAGGTGCCCCCCTCCAACTCTCCCTCATCATGAACCTAGATTAGGACTTGAAACCTAGGTTTTCCAGACTTATATGGTCAGTCTTGCCTTAGCCCACAGTAAACAAAGGATGTATTCCCCATCTTTTAAACAGAACAGAATGTGTGAAAACACATTTTCAAGTTTCACATATTCACAACTTTTTACTTAAAAGACGAAAAAGCTGCAGCAAGGGCTGGCTGGTCTGTATTTGAATCCCATTACTTACTAACTAGGCAAGTATTCTGCGTCTCAGTTTTTTCATCCTTAAAGTGAGGCTAATGATGGGCTTAGCTCATAGGGCTTGTGAGGATTGAGTTAATATATAAAGTGCTTGAACAGTATCTGGTACACAACAAGTACTGTCTCAGTGTTGGCTCTCTTTATTAGAAGTATTGTTATTCGGTATTAATGGGCTCTTATTAATGCCAAAACAGGCAGACTTTGCTTAAGGAATCTTCATTTTGCTGCTTGGGTTCACATCTGAGACAGAGCTGACTAGAATCTAAGGCAGAAATAAGCTATTTGTAGTCCAGGAAGTTCTAAGGAAGAAACAGTCTGCCTGCCTATCTGGTCCTGTTAATACACACATGATTAACATTTCCCCCATATTTCCCCTCTAATTATGCTTATGTTCTGATCTTTTGAACATGCAAGTTTAAATAAACTTTCCTCTGTTAGATTATGGGAAACAGTTAAATCTGGAATGCAGAGAGCTGCTGTATGCAAGGTACTGCAGGTGATTTGGCAGAAGGGTGATGTAAGGAATAGGACAGTCTGAGCACATCTGACAGGCACCAGAAGCCAATGGAGAGTCTGTGTGTGAAGCCTCTGAATGAAACGGAATATAGTTTCCTCTGTGAGGAGCTAGGACAACATGGCCCCCAAGGAAAATCTGAAGAGCACTCTGTGACTCACTAATCAATGAGTCAAAGAGGGAAATGGAAGGCTATTATCACTGACTATGTAAGCTTGACAAGTTTTGAGGTGGCCCAGTTCTGGGGCCCTTTCTTTGCCTCTCTCTAGTTTAATTCAGATTCTAGAATGGGATCTGAAACTCAGTTGTAATGGATAAATCTCAAGATGTATCCATTTGTCTCTGTATCAGTGGGCATATTGGGGACTATGCCTCTAGATTGCTGATCTGTTTATGTGTCTAATTTTACCATATATTTGCTGTACCAATAAATGCCTTTTTAATGTTAAACATTTTACAACAAATACTTCCACCATGTCTTTGTCACTGAAAAGACATTTTATATCAGAAAGAGCCTTAGATTTTTCAAACTGTATCTGAATCAAAAACTACTTCAATTAAGCTGTGCGCAAACTAAAAAACAAAACCCCACTTCAAAATGAAAGTGTGAATAGTCGAGGCCTTTGATTTAAAAAAATCTCACAAGAGAGACTGAGACTGTTTATAGTAGTTGTAGTTTAATTCAAATACCCAAATATTAGCAGGGCATGGTGGCATGCATCTGTAGTCCCAGCTACTTGGGAGGCTGAGGCAGAAGGAATGCTTGAGCCTGGGAGTTCTATGCTGCAGTGAACTATGATCGTGTCATTGCACTCCAGAATGGGTGACAGAGCAAGACCTTGCCTCTAAAGAAAATACAAAATAACCAAATACACAAAGATTGCAAAGTGTGCAGTTTGTGGCCTTCCCTTTGTTACCAGAGTACCTGTATGAAATAGAATTTTCATTACATGCTATAATTAAAGCAATATTTCTGTAGACTTGATGCTGTTCTTGATTTCAAGATCCAATTTAGCAACTGCTTTATGGCATTTGTTCCCCTCCCTACCCATCCACCTTGTTTTATGCATAGAATAAACCCTTGGCATGTTCTTTCTTAGTTCTTAGTTTCCTGGTGTCTAACTACTCTTTAGAAGAATAAGGGGTCTTACTTTTATATTTCTGTAAAGCTGTATGCCATTATATTACTTACTACATTGTATTTTAGTTGTCTATAATCTCTGTCCAACTCTAATAAAATAGCAAAACCTTAAAAGATAGGGACATTATTATTTATCTTTGTATTTTTAGCATTCAGCATACTGCCCAGCATATAATAGACATTCTGCAAATATTTAAATTATTTATACATTAAGAAATGGATGAATAGTAAGGTGTAACAACTTTACTAACTTGTTTAGTCAGTAGCAGAACTGGCGCTAGGAATAGACCCCGGGACTTCAGGTTTTCCCTGGTGACCCCCAAGTCTTTCCATTATTGCAGGTGTTTGTTGACATAAACAGTAAGGTCTTATACAGACATAGTTTTATAATGAGTTCAGAAATGGCTCAACAAAAGTGAAACCTGTGATAAATATCAGCTTATTTGTATTTCAGACCTTGATCTTTGTGATTTTGTTTTTCTTTGAGGGTCGATGACAGGTCATGAGATTGGAGAGACACATACAATAGTCAACGGTATGGAAAACATTTATTGAGGAAGTGATATTTTCAGATTACAGAACTAAATTGGGATCAATTTGGACTTTTTCAGTTAAGCCAAGCTGTTAGAATGTGTGTCTAAAGTTGGCCTGCTTATCATGTGTGTAATATTGCATTGGTTTAATCAGACCCTCTGATTTGTCAAATCCTTGCCAAAAATGGGTCCCATAGAAGGCAACCTGGGATTAGAATGCTTTTAAATGTAAGTCTCAAGTTTCTAAGGTAAACCATCTTCACTTAGCAGAACTAATTCCTTTAACAAGCATGTGTTGATTCCAACTGTGTGTCAGGCACTGTGCTAGGCTGGAGCAACAAAGAATAATAAAAAGAACCTTGTCTTAGAGGAGCTATTAAGTCATGTTCTCTCCCCAAATTGAACAACCACATAAGGAGATAATTTCTGTTAGAGGGGTTTGTGTGATCATCTAACAACAAAGGTCTGGTCAATAACAACAGTGACTGCATTAATCCAGTAGCATGCCAGGTTCTATTCTCAGCAATCTACATGTGTTACTTAAGTATTTGTTTATATTTGGGGAAGTTTTCCTTGTTTTATCTCTACATTTAGAAACTTTGACCTTTTTTGTTTTGTGGCTTGTCCTTTATTTGATTTAAAAAGTCATTATAGGGCTGGGCACAGTGGCTCACGCCTGTAATTCCAACACTTTGGGAGGCTAAGGCGGGCCTGAGGTCGGGAGTTCAAGACCACCCTGACCAACATGGAGAAATTCTTTCTCTACTAAAATTACAAAATTAGCCAGGCACGGTGTTGCATGCCACTAATCTCAGCTACTTGGGAGGTTGAGGCAGCATAATTGCTTGAACCCAGTAGGCAGAGGTTGTGGTAAGCAAAGATTGCGTCATTGCACTCCAGCCTGGGCAACAAGAGCAAAACTCAGTCTCAAAAAAGAAAAGTCATTATAATTACCTAGTAGCTTTAGATCTGACTCTATATATAATATATATAACAGAGAAGAGTTGTTTGCCCCATAAACATGTACAATTATTATTTGTCAAAAGGGAAATAAAAGTTATTAATATTAACAGTCTTACCTTTAGTTTCTCACTGACTCAGTGTATCTACTGAGATTCCCTTGTTACTATCTGTCCCTCAGGTAGTCTTCTCAATGGCGAGTCTTTTAGGGTGGAAGGATTCTTTCTTACTGGCTCTTGTTCCAGGACTCTACTTATTTCTAGTAGCCTGAATGGAGCAAAAATGTAAAAATAGGGAAGACTTGCTGAATCTTCATAACAAAGAATTTTTAAGATAAAAGGGAAAGGGGAGAACACAAATTTGAAACTGGTTTTGAAGGTTGGAGTGGGGTAGGTTGGTGAATGAGAGACCCTTGAGCAACTGTAGTATATGAGAGAATTGAGGAGGTGACAAGTGTGTTATGATTTTTATTTCTTCTTGTATCCATTGAGAAAAGTGTGAAAAGACCGGAATTACTCTTTTTTCACTTTTGATTGTTGGACTATCTTTCTACCCAGGACATCCACTTAGATTGCTGAGGTTTATTCAGGTTATACATACCGTGCCTCTCTACTTTAACTGCCTTTTTCTTTGCTTAGTAGTTTTTTGGCAAGTAGCTGATGAATGAGGAATTCTTAAATTCTTGTAAAGGGTTTTTCCTGAAAGAAAAGTTTTTTTAGACAAGGAGAGTGGGCATAGGGAATAATACCAACGTTAGGTACCCACTGTGGAACCTTTAGGGGCTGGTCAAATGTATTTGGCACAATTATTCTTTACTATGTCATCAACCAAAACTTGGATGTCTTTCTTATTTACTGCCATTGTTGTCAGAGCTGTAATCCACATCTCTTCCAGAGGTCATGGAAACTCTTCCTCTCTCAGCATCTCTAGTGGGTATCCTTGGCAGTCTAAAGCAGTCAGGAGGGTGAGAGCTGAGAGAGAGAGAGAGGCTTAGGTGAAAGCACTTTGTAAACTTACGGAGGATGGTATTTTGTACAAAGCCTGGCACAGAGTGGACATTCAGTAAAAGTGCATTGAATAAAAAGAAGAGGAAAAAAGCAGACACCTTTTACTCAATAGCAGAAATCTCATCTCTCTTCTGCTTCCCCTACCTTGATCAGCCTTGATCAGGATAAGAGTACCTTGTGACATAGATTAATACTGTATGAGTAATAGTTCATATTATTTACTCTCATTTCTTTAAATAGCCCTACAAAATATAGTATGATTCTCATTTTATGTTTATGGGAATGAAAGTTTTAGAGGATTTATGTCACTTGCCCAAATATTACCCTTGTAATAAGAGATGGAACTGGGATTGGAATGCAAATCTGTCTAGCTTCAAAAACTTTTTTTCCCCCTTACCTTTCTAGCCAGTACAGCTGCCAGACTATATTTAGAAGTTTTGTGGGTCCTTCATGTGACTTTACTAATGGTCTTATGAAAAGCTGTCTCCCCTGAGAACTGGTGTTTGAAGTTCTTGGTTCATTCAGCAAACATGTGCTTAGGCCCAGCTATGAGCAAGAACTGTGCTAGGCACCAAAAGAAAATCCCATCCTCATGGAGCTGCCAGGGTAGTGAGTGATCGTAAATATAAATAATGTTGGGCAGAATGATGTTAGCGGTATAATGTGAGGTTGTACTGAAGGAGCACTGAGGAGGGACTGAATGAGGGAAGGAAAAGAATCAGCCTCTCTTATATAAGAGGCAGCCCCATGTCTGCCAGAGCCTAACATCTCTTAGCCACCTTAGCTCATTTAATCTTCACTATGACCATATAGTATCCTGGTTATATGGATGAGCAACGTACTTGGCATTTCACAATAAGGAACAGATGGATAGGATTTTCAAACTCAGAAATGTCTGGCTCCAAGTCCCTGCCCTTTTCATTGGACTACTGTGTATAGACTGAGTACAGGTTTTTCCCAATATATGTTTTTTAAATACATAGTGGTTAAAGTTCCATTCTATATGCAAGTGAATGTGTTGTGTAAGACTCAGCGTATCTACCGAGATTTCCTTGGTTCTGTCTGTGCCTCACAGTCTGCTTGCTTAGTGGTGAGTCTTCACATGCTGCTTTTGCCAGGTTTTCTAACAGTGCTGGCTGTCTCATCTTCTTTCAGTGAGGACTGGGCCTTGGTTTGGTCTCTGTTATGTCCATTGTGGAGAGAACTACAGCAGCTCATATGCCTAACCCCCATTTGGCCAGACCCTCGACTCTTCTGCCACTTTCAGGTTCAAACGTGGGGTATGTTCTTCCCCAATGACTATCTAGAGTGGCTGGGTAACCACAGCCTGGAAGTGGGGAGTGAGGGAAGTTGACATCTCTGACCAGTGCAGTTGGAGAAGGGAAGGAGCCAGCAGATAAATTGCTTCCTGTTTGCCTTTCTCCTCCACTTACCCCTTACACACACACACAGACACACACACACACACACACGCACTATTCTAAGGTATAGTAGTTCTATTACAACCCATCCTGTAACCTTCTGAATGAGCAATTACGTGTTTTCATGTTAAGCTATAGCTGGTTTGTTGATGCATAACCTTAGGTTTCCTTTCCCTCGTATCCTTTCCTACCAATCTTTCCCCACTCTCTGCTCTGAGATTGTAATACCTGATAAACAGGTAAGCTTTCCCCTAAACTGTTTTTTAGAGAACTTGTGCGCAGTAGTATTATATTATTACATATTATTTAAAAAACAAATATCTTTCCCATCACAGACCCTTGCCCTGTTTACCCTGTTTTGTACCTTGTTATTTTTAATTTAGCATAAATTAGGTAAATTTGAGTACTTACATGTCAGACACTGTTCTACATCCATTAATGTGCACCAAAATCCTATGAGATACAGTAAACTATGGGTATAGTTCCATATCTGCATATATAGGTCAATTGTATTTTCTTTTTTTTTTCCTTTTTTTAAGACGGAGTTTCACTGTTGTTGCCCAGGATGGAGTGCAATGGTGTGATCTTGGCTCACTGCAACCTCACTGAGGAGGCTGAGGCAGGAGAATCACTTAAACACCTCCCAGGTTCAAGTGAGTCACCTGCCTCAGCCTCCTGAGTAGCTTGGATTACAGGCATGTGCTACCACGCTTGGCTAATTTTGTATTTTTAGTAGAGACAGCATTTCCCCATTCTGGTCAGGCTGATCTCGAACTCCTGACCTCAGGTGATCTGCCCACCTCAGCTTCCCAAAGTGCTGGGATTACAGGTGTGAGCCACTGCACCTGGCCTGTATTTTCTTTTTTAAAGGAAAGATTATTGCTTTTGTTAAAATGGTACATGTTCATTATAAATCAAGAAATGCTTAAAAACACACACACACACACACACACACACACACACACACCCCTCCAGATAACATATTGTGGTAATAACCTTTAGGTGAACAACATTCTGGGAACTCTCATGAACCTCAACTTTTCTCGGTATCTTTAGAGTAGCGTCAGAGTATACTACTATAATTTAACCAGTCTTCAGTTGATAAGCATTTACAATATTTTATTTAAAAAACATGCTGAAATGACCATCCCTATAAATGCCATCCTTAAAAATTGGTTTTTAAATCTGCTTTAAAACCATCCTTATAATGGGTTTTGAAGCTGGCATGTAAGATGTGTTTCTCTCCCATAAAATTTTTATTCAGATATTGAATAAAAATTCTTGTGATGAACTCACCTGTTTTGCAGAGGAAAGACTCTGGGCCAAAGCAAAACTAACAGCAAGATGATCTGCCCTTAGGTGATTCCTCTAATGAGAAAGAATGGGAACACAAAACACCATATAACAGATGCAAGTTTCACATCCCAGAGTTTTGATAACCAAAAGAAACCATAGGCCACACAGCTGATGAGAGGTACATTTGAGCTATTCTATTACATTTTAGATTTTAATTTTGCCACAGTAAATCATGGCGCAAATATAGCAGAGGCAGTGATTTATCATTAAGTTCATATATGCTATAAACTAATCCAGTTAAAAGGCAACAGCACCATATTTTGAAGACAGGGTGACCAAGTTTCTAATGCAATGATGGCCAGTGATTAATACAATCAACTGGAGATCAGCAGGGTTGATAAATTTTCCTGGCATTGGGAATGACTTACCTGACTTTTTTTTTTTTTTTTTTTTTTTTTTTTTGAGACAGGGTCTCACTCTGTTACCCAGGCTGGAGTGCAGTGGCACAGTCATTGCTCACTGCAGCCTTGACCTCCTGGGCTCAAGTGATCCTCCCACCTCATCCTCCTAGGTAGGTGGGACTATAGGCACATGCCACCATACCCGGCTAATGTTTTTGAAATGTATTTGTAGATATGGGGTCTCTGTGTTTCCCAGACTGGTCTCAAACTCCTAGCCTCAAGCAATTCTCCAACCTCAGCTTCCCAAAGTGCTGAGATTATAGGCCATGCTTGGCCTTATCTTTTAAGATGCTTTTCCAGGATCTGAAGTTGAAGATTTAAACCTATACAGTTGATTTTTTGCTATCTTTTTTTTCAGTTTGTTATGCTGTGTAGTTCTGTTATAAAGGTATGTAGTAAAAGACCAGCTTTTCTTAGGGTTCATTGGTCCTTTTCTCATTTGCTGTGCACTAATATTTAGTGAAATTTGCTTCTGAATATTACGCTTTGTTTCTATTTTTGTTAAAATATTTGTATTGTGACTGTGTAGTAATTTGTGTATATTTTAGATTGTAGCTTGCTTTTCAGCCATCAGTGCCGTATTTCAGTGACTGCTAGACAAACATGAATATAGGAAATTTTTTTGTTCAGGATAGTTTGCATAAAGTTTACTATCCTTCTAAATAGCAAGCCTATTACAGAGCAGATCAGAGTTACTCATATTCGTGAACAGTATTAATCTGTTGAATAATCAAACCATCAAGGCAGCTGCATTGGTAGAGTTGCTGTTTATGGACTTTTTGGTTGAACAAAATAGTCTTGCCATTCTTAGCAAAGAAATACCCCAGCATGAGGCAACACATGGATGTGGCCAGTAAGTGCTGTGAGAAATGAACAAGGAATGGAAAATTAAGCACTGACATATTCTGAGATACTTTCTGAAGGAGCTCAGGCTAAATGCCCTCACCTCCTTGATACTGGCTCAGAGGCTGGATCTTGTGCCTCTTTCATCCCAGTAGTACTTGGTTTATAACACTGTGTGAGGTGACTGCATCTCTAAGCCAAAAATCATGATACATGTTCTAAGACAGGTAATAGACTGGTATCTTTGGCCTGAATTCCATCTATAAAGTGTTCTGCTTTGCCTGCAGTGTTAAACACTTTTCATTAGTTGTAGATTGATAAAAGCTGAGACCTCTTACATAAAATCTGTAAAATTTCTAACTTTCAGATCTGGGAACACTGGGCCAAAATTTCTACTTAGCAGCAATTAGCTGGAACTAGGTGGTAGCTGTCCACTTAAGCCAAAGCATATGCTTTGCAGTCTGCTGTATCACACACGCACACGCACGCATGCACACATACACCGGTCACTCATATATGTATCTACTTGGCCCTTTTTACTTCCAGACCATATGCCCTTTGAAGGCAGGATTTTTGTCTGTTTTGTTCATTGTTTTTTTCTCATGACCAGAATGTTGTCAAGTAGGTTAAAGGATATTGCTAGATGGAGGAAGAATGTATTTGTGACTCTTAGTCCAAGTTTATGGGGGAAAAAAAGACAGAATTTTTCAACTTGGAGCTCCTTCAGATATGTGAACTGTGTTCCCCTTTACTCCTGAGGTACTGTATAGTTTAGGAATATAGCTTAGTATCATAGTTTTGTATATGAATTATCTCCCTTGTTAAATGGTAAATATACTGGGTTCAGGGACCTGCCTTGTACTGTTTTTGCATCCTTAAGAATACCTTGCACAAAATAGAGGGTTAAATACTCCTTTAAAAATTGGCGGATTTTTAAAATTTCTCATCTAATTTTGTGAATAAAGATGGGGAGATACTAATGAATATGTTGTGCTGGGAGACCATGAGATGGCCCATTCGAGTTACTTCTTCACTGTATTTTCCCATAGCCCTATCCCCAATTACATTCTATTCTCCATCCTGACTGTGACGAGGAATGGAATATAATTGGGGATAGGGGTATGGAGAAAATACAGTGAATATAGGTTTTTGATAATCCTTAACCCCTGCTCTTTGATAGCAGGGTAAATTAACCCCCCTTCCTCACTTTGTGCATATTCCATTTTAGTACTCTTCTCATCCTTTTTTTTTTTTGACACAGAGTCTTGCTCTGTTGCCCAGCCTGGAATGCAATGGTGTGATCTCAGCTTACTACAACTCCACCTACTGGGTTCAAGCGATTCCCCTGCCTCAGCCTCCTGAGTGGCTGGGACTACAGGCACACGCCACTACAACTGGCTAATTTTTGTATTTTTAGTAGAGACAGAAATATAATTTTGCTATGTCGGCCAGGCTGGTCTTGAACTTGTGACTTCAGGTGATCCACCCACCTCAGCCTCCCAAAGTGCCGGGATTACAGGCATGAGCCACAATGCCCAGCTTATTTTAGTACTCATCATATTATGTTAAAGATCTTATCTCCTACAGTAGGCTGTGATTTCCACATCATGAAGAACTCTATGGTTTTTGTGTATCTAACAGCTAATATTTATGTTATAATGTTTGTGTGCCAACTCTGTATAAGCACTATTCTAGGAACTCAGTAAATGTTTGCATTGAATTCAGTTTGTGTTAGGGGTTGTATTAAAGCTCTACACCACCTTATAGTTTATAAAACGTGTATATTCATTGTCTCATTTGATTTGGAAATCAACTGAGTACTGCAAATGAGAAAAATCAAAGCCCAGGGAAAACTGTAACTGGTCCAGAATCACACAGCAGTTAATGGCTGAACATCCAGGCTGAACTTTGCCAGTGAGTGGCTGAATATTCACAAAATTCTGATGCCTCCATAGAGCGGGTTAGAATTATGGAGGACTTGTCATTCTTGGCTATGGAATTTGGACCTGTATATTGAAACATCAAGAGAAAGGGAAGTGTTTCTTCATAAGTTATTTTTGAATAAAGACTTTTTGCCATCCGAGGCTTCATCCCCTGGAGCTCAACAATAGCATTCCTTGGGGGAGTGAGATGATGATGAATGGTCATTAGTTTGCTTGCCTCACCCAGATTCCATTCCTACCTCCCAGAATTTTCCCTGTTCCCACCCAGTTCCACAGTAACAATCAATCCCAATCAGTGGCTGTACTTCATTTTTTGGATCAAGGAATACCCCTCCCTTTTCTGTCTTCCTCCTTAGGGCTTTGAATAGGAGCCCTTTAATTGATGTTGACTAAAGAACTGGAGGCCAGCCCCTGCATACCGGGAATGCCAGTGGCTTTGTTAGTTGAGGAGAGCACTGCATTAGCAATGCCCTCTAAATCCCAGAGCAGGTGGAGGAAATCTAATTAACATTTAGTAAGCCAAGGTCCCTTGGGGAGTTTCTGATAAAGAAAAGGTCAGTGCAAACTGAGAAGGAACACTAATAGACTTCATTTTCCTAGTGGGAACTTTCTGAAATGAACTGGAAATTAGGTGAGCTGGATTCTAATGCCTACACTACCAGTGGCTTTTTAAGCATAGTCAAGTCCCTCTGCTTATCTGAAGTGTCAGTTTCTTGTCTGTGTCTAGTCCCTTACCATACTCTTTCCTATACAAATATTTGTTTCGTAAGAGTGGAAGGGAACTCAGATCATCAAGTCGCTATCACCTTGGGGTGACAGGTGCACCAAAATCTCAGTAATAGCTACTAAAGATCTTATTCATGTAACCAAACACCACCCATTCCCCAAAACCTTATTGAAATAAACAAGATCATATAACTGCAGCTATACCTGTCCTTGTATTCCAAGCATAGCATTGCCACCTACTTGCAAAATACTATATTTTTTTAAAAAGGTGCTACCGCCTGGGAAACTTTTTCCAACATTCCATATGTCCAAATCTCACTCTATATCTACTGAATCTTCTGATAAGAGTAGATATGTAACAAATATGTGTAGTTTAGGAAAAATTTCCTAGGAAATTTTGATAAAATCCCTGGGTTTATGCTTTTTTGAAGAACTTAACCACATATAACAAACTCAAGGCCTAGCACAGTGTTTGTTTCCCATATTGTAGTTGCTTAGTAATATGTTTGGAGGAGGATTTTGGGGGAATATTAAGTGAGAAGCTAGAGGTGGAATAATCATTGCACCAATGAGCATTTTACAAAATGGGGATTGAGATCTATTAGCGAGTGATGAAATCAATAGTAATGAGTTGCTGCCAGCATTTTAAAAATGAAATAGAATACCAAAAGTAGCATGTAATGTATTGTGTCCAGTTAAGGATATTGAAATTTTTAAGTTCATTGTATTTATAGATACTGTGCTGCAATTTAAAAGACATTTCTTACTGGATTTTGATCAAAAGCCATTGACCTAGACAGGGATCTGTATTGGAGTAAAGATGGTTCTAAGGGGAAGGAGTATAGAGAAGCAATATGGGAGCCGGATGCAGTGGCTCATGCTTATAATCTCAGCACTTAAGGAGGCCAAGGTGGGAGGATAGCTTGAGCCTGGAATTTGAGAAGCAACATGGAAACAACACTAGGGAAAGTAGGTTCTAGTCTTTACCCAAGCTCTTTGACTTTGAGAAAAATCACATTTTTCTCCTGGACCTTAATATTCTTTGCTCATTGCCCTTAGTACCCTCTACCTAAATTCAACCCCACATCTGCTTGGCAAAAATTAACTCAAATATCTCT